CCTCAGGCCTCAAGCCCCTAAAGCCCTAAAGCCCTAAAGCCCTAAACCCTCAACCCTAAACCCTAAGCCATAAACCCTAAAACCCTAAAGCCCTAAAGCCCTAAAGCCCTAAAGCCCTCAACCCTGAACCCTAAGCTCGAATCCTTCTGGTTCTACCCTAAATCCTGTAATGTAAGGTATACCGCTTCCCTGTGTTTGAGGCCTCCCAAAGGTGCCGAGCCCCTTGGGACACAGCGGCGCGGGATGCACAGCTTCAGATGGCCAAGGACCCTTGGTTTGGATCCTCCCCTTCATGGTTGGCAAGGGGCTAGGGTTTAGGGTTTAGGGTTTAGGGTTCAGGGTTGGCTCCCTTTAAGGGCTCCTTGAAAGGCATTCCTACGAGGGTTGCTTGAAGGGTTTAAGGTCTTGTTGAGGTATAGGGGCCTTCACAATTTCAACCGGGATTGGGTATTGATTGAACAAGCAGTATAGTCATTTATAGTGCTGAGCCTTTTAGGAATAATGGTATTTGAACGGTATTTGGATGTAATTATGCCATAATTAAGCAGGTGTTTAGCGTGCCCTAAACCCTAAACCCTAAATCCTATAAACCCTAAACCCTAAACCCTAAACCCTAAAAGCCCTAAGCCCTATGAGCCCTATAAACCCTAAACCCTAAACCCTAAACCCTAAGCCCTAAACCCTAAATCCTAAACGGGGTGGGGGTGTAGAGGCCCGGGAGTTGAGGCAGGTAGGGTGGCCAAGCTTTCAGGTGCAGATAGAGGATTGATACGCCCGTATTCCCCAAGAGTATGTTTAGGGTTTAGCGGGGTTTAGGGTTTAGGGTTTAGGGGGGTTTAGGGTTTAGGGTCTCTTTTTTTCTTAAGCCCCTAACAGCAAGCAGTACATAAACGTAGCATGTCGTTCTTTTTTGGTGGGTTTGTCGAGTTGACTGGCTCCAGCTTGAGACTCTGGAAGGAACTTGCAAGGATATGGTTTGTTGTGTCTGCCCAGGGTCCTTGTTTGAGGAATGACCCCTAAACCCTAAACCCTGAGCCCTGCAGTTTAGGGATAAGCCTTAAAGCTTGCCTTAAAGTCATGAACCCCGCCCTCTGCCGCAGTTTTGCACGGCTCAGAGCCTTGCGCCGGCCTCGGAACGCCATAGAAAGACGAACCACCAGGTGCCAGAGGAAGCAAAGGGAAGCCGGTCACCATGGCGATCAGCCGCTGAGTGGCGGTTCAGTGTTTTTCGGGGCTTTGGTGGTGCGGTGGGGCTCTGTTGTTGCGGGCGTAGGGTTTTAGGGTTTCGTGGCTTGGATGTAGGGTGTGGGTGGTGTAATGTTCGAGTCTTTTCGAGTGGTAGGTGCAGGGTTCGGGGGTTTAAAGCCAGGGCTTGTTACGAGCTCTCGGTCAACTTGTGAGGGTGTTTAGGGGTTTGGGGGTTTGGGGGTTTAGGGTTTAGGGTTTAGGGGTTTGGGGGTTTGGGGGTATTATTAGGGTTTAGGAGTTTAGGGTTTAGGAATTCAGGGTTTAGGGTTTAGGTGTTTAGGGTTTAAGGGCTTTTGGGTTTAGGGTTTAGGGGTTTAGGGTTTAGGGGTTTAGGGTTTAGGGGTTTAGGAGCTTTGGGCTTAGGACTTACAGGGTTCACTAGTCTTGAGGCGTCGGGTTTGCAGAGCTGGCGGCCAAACGAGCAAGTCTTTCTACCGCGGACTGTGGACACGTGTCATGAGAATGCATTGTTGCATAATTCGACAGCAACAAAAATATATGCAGACTGTAATTAGTGTTTTCAACACATATCCGTACATCTATATAATCGGAATATGAATGCGCAGTCATGCTTAGTCGCACGCAAGCACATGTACACACGTCGAGAGACCGGCAGAGTCATGTACAGAGCCCAAACGGTGCAATGCCTGTCGGAAGGATACCCATCTATCCCCCTCTCCAAGTTTGATTCCCGGTCTTCTTGGCAGTCTTCACAGCTCGTGATGCTGTTGCTGGTGCATGATTTTGTGACGGAGCTGCTGCTCGTTGGTGCTGTTGTTACCGCTGCTGCTGTGATAGCGATATCGATGATGATGATGATGATAGTGGTAATGATGATGATAATGAGGGTACTGTTGATGATGGATGATGCTGATGATGATGATGATGATAATGATGATGATGATGTTGATGATGATGATGATGATGATGATGATGATGATGATAGTGATGTCGACGCCTCGTGCGAATCGTAGCAGCAGTAGCAATTCTCTCATTGCCAGAAGCAATGAGGGACATCAGCAGTTGAACAAGGGTGCGACTGAAATTGATCATGTCCAAGTTGTTGCTTTCGTTGCCCAGGACGGTGATGCTGCGGCTTGAGATGCTGATGGTGGTGGCGTTGTGATGAGGAGGTTGAGATGATGAAAGCAATCACCATAACAATGATGAGCACGATGGCGCTGATGATGGTGCAACATTAAGCGTGATGCTGATGATGATAATGATAATGATGTCGGCGGTCGTGGGGCAGACTTGGGTATCATGAGATGTAACCGAATCACGAAGCGCAGGGCCTCAAGCCCACTGCAGTCACGGTGAGTAGCCTGGCCAACACGAACCGGCGCAGAGGAGGACAAGGTGTCGGGATTCTTATGCTTGGAGTCGAGGAGTTGATTCGATGGTTTCGGGTGCGACTACTTCGAAAGTGCAAACCCGAGGTCCACAGGAGTTCATCCCGACAAGCTGACTCATCCACTCTTGTACCGCCGCTGTAGTTTCTGACACAAATTCAATCAGCACTGCAGTCGATAAACAAGTGTGCACACACACACACGCATATGTATCTGTATACACAGCGCACACGCTTACTGTGTGAATACATTCCATGTATAGAATTATGTATACGTGTATGTCTACGAACATGTATAGGAATATGTATCTGCATATGTATCTCTATGTCTACGTCTCTCTCTCTCTATATACACACGTACACACATACACATACCTACCTACCTACCTACCTAACCTAACCTAACCTAACCTAACCTAACCTGACCTAACCTGACCTAACCTAACCTTACCTAACCTTACCTAACCTAACCTTACCTAACCTTACCTAACCTTACCTAACCTTACCTAACCTTACCTAACCTTACCTAACCTTACCTAACCTTACCTAACCTTACCTAACCTTACCTACCTACCTACCTACCTACCTCCCTACCTCCCTACCTACCTACCTACCTACCTACCTACCTCCCTACCTCCCTACCTCCCTACCGACCCTACCTACCTACCTACCTACCTACCTACCTACTTACCTACCTACCTACCTACCTACCTACCTACCTCCTACCTACATACATACATACCTTTGTATCTATATGTTTTTGCCTGCCTACGAAGTACTCTCTCTCTCTCTATATATATATGCATGCATACATATATATATACACACATGTATATATATATATGATGTACACATCTTGCGTTTATTGTATGAGGGAGAGCAGTGGCAGGAGCTCCGTCCCTCCTGGCACTGTGTCATGCTGCGGCCATCAGGCAAGGTTGTCGGGCTCGGGGTTGTGTATAGTATGTTTTAGTACACAATCGTATGTTAAGGTACTTTAGAGTATATGATAGTACAGTATAGTTTTCTATCAAGGGTTAGGGTTTCTTAAGTCGTTAGGGCAGTGCCTGACATCGATCCTGTCGATTTGTCTTGCTCGAGGTTGCTTGAATTGTTGTTGAGGTGAAGGACTAGATTCTTCAGTTGGAAAGCTTCGTCGTGCGAAATTGAAGACATTCCTCTGTCGATTTATGTCTTGCCATCTCCTACAGGGCTTCGGCTCGTCGGTATCTTGGATTGAGTGTGCTAAGGGTCTAGATTTTTCACAGAAGTAGCATGTGCCCATCTGGTGCTGATCTACTGACCCTCACAACAGAATGGAGAGTTCCGCATTCAGGCCCGATGTCGTGCTGTGCAACACGCAGTTGCGCGCTTACCAGCGAGAGTTGCGATGGCAGCAAGCTGTGCGGGTGCTGCAGGAGAGTTTTCAGCTTCTTAAGCACACTCTAAACTCTATGCTACATATCTTAAGGTATCATGTTATACTATAATCGACAATCTTACATTCTACTTGCACCTTACCCTTTTCGAAGAGAGCGGAGATGCCCGGAATTGGCAGGAAGTCTTCGAACGCTTTGAGCTTCAAGCAGACGAGGCCGGGAGCAGCTTCGGTTCCTTGTTGCTAGGGAGGCAGGGTTTAGATTTAGGGTTTCGAGTTGGGGTTTAGGGTTGAGGGGTAGGGTTTAGGTTTAAAGTTTAGGGTTCTGAGGGTTGAGGGTTTAGGTTTCAGGTTTAGGGTTGGGTTTAGGGTTTAGGGGTTTGGGGCTGGGGTTTAGGCTCTATAGGACTACCGTATTTGCCCAAGATGAGCCTTCGCTTCGACCCTCGGAGCAATCAAAGCCCTGAGCTAAAAAAACCGAGAACTGCGCAGCTCTAAAGTTTAGGGTTTAGGGAACCACTGAACCCTAAACCCTAAACACCAAACCTAAACCCTGAAAAAAGCAAAAGCCCTAAACATCGAGAACCCCCAAACCCTTACTGACTGCGCCTTTGGTCTGAATTCAACACCTAATCTAGGTACGTCTTTGGGACCCTTTGGTATTTTTCCCGTGTGAAGGGCCGAAGAGAAGATCTTATCTATGAGAGAATTTTTCAAAAGCTTCAGAGTGCGAACGGGCTAACCTAGTAATATGGAAGCCTGAACAATTACAATACTCTTCCTTCTTATAAATGTGCTTTGTTGTACCTCCCGGCCCCTCTTCGACTTATTACTAGCCTAAAGCCTGAAACCTCGAATCTTTTCAATCTAACCCATAAAGCTCTATGATATGCCAACTTGTCACTTTAATGGGACCCTTACAGTAACTCTTAGGCTAACTTTGAAAGCCTGCTAGTATCCAACTAGGGCTAACCCGTATAGTAACCCTGAACCCGACATCGGGAAGCCAAGAAAGACCCTGAGGTGTCCTACGCCACTTGTATTAGTGCTTTGGAGCTGAGCCACCAGTGGCCGCTGGCTGCCGCCCTGAAGCACAGACGGACAAACGCAGGGCTCAATGGACGTCGTAGAGTCTAGGGTTTATGCGTAAAGCATTTTTTTGCAGGTTTCGGCTTAGAAAGTTGTGGGCTGAGGGGTTTCGATCAAGATAACATGGCATGAAACGCCCTATTTTCCAGCTTTGCGCCTCCTGGTGCTCAGGGTTGATGTAGGGGTCGTAGCTATTCTGTGAAAAGGGGTACCTGACAGCGACCTCTTCGTCAAAGCAACCCTGCAGCACCTTCCGTTACGAAGGCCCCGTGGCTCCCGCAATGGGCGGAAATCCAAAGTTCATGACTAAAGCCCTAAATTTCCCTAAGCATCACTGGAACCTAAACCCCATAAACCCCATCAATCTAGCCAAGAGCTGCATTGCTGAGGTACGCCTGCTACAGCGCATGCGAGACCATCAGATCCGACCAAGCAACTCGGCTAGCAAGATGTTGCAGGCTGCAGGGTGTTGCTTTAGGCTTGAGGGTTCAGGGCTGAGGGTTTAGATAGGGGTTGAGTTGTAGGGATGTAGGGTTCAGTGATTCAAGCTGTCAAGGTCAAGCGGGTCAGACACGCAAAGTAAGGATATATTCGGGGCCCGAGGTCAAAATTCCCTTTCAGACAGCCTTGTGGTTGTTTCAGGTGCTGCTGATTTCCAGGAAGAAGGGGAGTGTGAAGGCTACACTGGTCCCATATGCAAAAAAACATCTCGACTCCGGCTTTGGCCTTCCATTGCAACCTGTGCGAACATGTCAGGGGTATCACGAAAAGGTATCGAAACAACTCTAACGCTGTGCCCTCTTACATGGGGTCTCCCTTACGAGTCTGCTGAAGGTTCGAGTGCTTCCATTCGCGATCTTTTGCATAATGATCTCAGATCCGCGCCATCTCCTTCGGGCTCTCTCCTTGTAAACTCTGTTTGTCCATCTCCCCAAACTCAAGCCCGATTCCACTCGCGCATGTTCGTCCCGGCACAGGATTCAGAGTTGTGTAGCGGGGCTTAGGGTTGGGTCTACCACCCAGACGGTCCAAAGGCATTCGCGGCAGTTATGGAACTAGGCCCTAGAAGACCATTCTCATCATGGCTTAGGCCTTACACCAAAATAGTGGTACATGGACCTCTTGGTTAGGGTTTAGGAGTCTAGAGATTTCAGACATCCTGAGCTCGGATCCAACTCGCCCAGTCTCTCTGGGCCTTGTGGCCCTGGGGTTTAGGTTTTGGGGTTTAGGGTTTAGGGTTTGGGGGTGTAGGGTTTAGGTTTCAGGGTTCAGGGTTTGGGGGTGTAGGGTTTAGGTTTCAGGGTTTAGGGTTTTGGGGGTTTAGGGTTTAGGTTTCAGGGTTTAGGGTGTGAAGGCCTTGTGGCGTACAATGCGACGATGTCCGCGTGTGAGAGCAGCAGCCAATGGGAGAGGAGCTCCGACGTCTAGCAGCCAATTTAGGGTTTGGGGTTGAGGGTTTAGGGTTTAAGGGTTTAGGGTTTAGGGGTTTAGGGTTTAGGGTTTAGGGGTTTACGGTTTAGGGTAATATAGAAGCTTGAATAACGAAGAAATATTAAAGCTTATTAAAGCCACAGAAGATGGATGAGCTAAGAAGAATCTTAAGAAGAACTGCTATCCCTTCAGGGTCCCATAGAATCAGGGTTCCTGTTACAGTTGTGTTCCAATAATTCAAAATATTCCCCAAACCTCTGATATTATCTCCGGACAGCGCATGGACCTGGTCAAAGAACTCAAGGGTGAGTTCAAGGTTGGCTTTGAGTTGAGGGTTTTTCGGGTTTGGTCAGAATCATGGTTGCCAGTTTCATAGTTGAGAGGTTTGTAGGTTTTAGGTTTCAAGGTTTAGAAAATCGGGGTTTGAGGTTTAGGGAGGAGCCTGGACGATTTAGTAGCCTTCCTGCCGAAATGGACCGGAAGAAGCGCACAGCTTCGTTGCTGGAGGATTCTTTCGCTCTTCCAGACCCTACGTGACGACGGGCTAGAGCCAACACCGGTCGAGAGCTCAGAAAACCAGGGTGTACGTGGCATTTAGGGATCCCCAGAACTGCTGGCGGCGAATCTTTGATGGTTTCACCGTGGAGGCATTTGCGGGTCTGAGGGATTTATGAAGTCTAGAGTTTAGGCCTTTGGTTGAAGCAGACGTTGCTATGGGCTGATGAGGCGGAGCCAAGCCAAAGCCAAGCGGGCACTGCAGTTCACAGAGTTGGGCTTGGCCAGCGTATGTCATAGGGTCTAGTCTTGGGTCCTACTGTAGGAATCCAAGTTTCGCAAGCCACACTTGGATGAGAACATCCAAAGCAGGAAGTCGAGGAAGACACCCGAAGACGTTCGTCGAAGTTTCCAACATGTGCCACTAAACATCCACGAAAGGCCGAAGCTGTGCTCCGAAGACTAGGAAGTGACTGTACTAGGCTAAAGTGTGTTACTTGTGATCGATAGATTGTATTGTAATGTACTATATTGTATTGCAATTACATATACTGTATTGTATTATAGTACACTATATTGTATTATAATATACTATGTTGCATTATAATATACTGTACTGTAGTACGGTTGTATTATACTGTACAGCATAAATGATCCTGCACACCTAGAGCAGAACCCTCGACTCCCCGACCCAGACTCAGGTGACTGGTGATGTTCTGCAGAGCTCCGGTGGCAGAAGTCGGAGCGCAGTGGAAGCTAACTCCGGGCGAACGAGGGATTTGACTTCACGTTACATGCTCAGGGTTTAGGGTTTAGGGTTCAGGCTGTGTGCTCTACTGCTTCGGACTTGAGGACCTCATGCTCTTGTCCGCGAGGGAGAAGCCTCCAGGGAAGGAGCTTGGAAGTCCCCTGAACCCGAAACCAAGCATATACACCCCGAACCGTATAGAGCATTTATGGAATCATTGACCGCTCATATATACATCCCTTATAAAGCCGTTGTTGAACCCTTACTAGTGGAACTTGAGCTCACTCGCCGAAAGCCCTAAGCCAGGCACCAAAGTACACCTTTACCCTATAACGACACTGGAAGCCGCCAGTCCAGACCCTACTATCCTAGATCACTGGAGCCCACAGCTAAACTCCCCTTGCATCCCCTGGATGGTCGGAAAGTTGGGCCAAGGATGGCATGCGAAGCAGGCACGAGATGGCAACTTGCAGTGGAGCTGGCCGCCAGGACGGTCTGGCCCTAAACGCCACTCCTAAACGCCCTACAACTCGCATTTAAATCGCGTACAGAGTCGAACACACCCCCTGCTAGCATCGTTATCGTCGTCGTTGTTGTTGTTGTTGTCTGATCTCCGAGCATCCATCCTACAAGCCTACAAGACTTCGCATTTCAGGACCGCATCTGGCGCTGCTGGAGCTGCAGGGCTTGTCAGCTCTTGCTGCTCGGCGATAAGAGTTTCTCTCGAGGCTTATTTGGGGCACATCTGAGCCCTTTTCTCTTATGTAAGGCCGCGGTGGCCTGTTTGTCAGGTTTTGGGGTTTAGGGTTATAGGGTTCAGCTTGGAGATTGTTTCGTTCAGGATTTCCGACAACCTGTTTCACCCTCGTTTCGTTTGCAGGGCTTCGTACCGCTCTGTGGTGTCATCGCCTCCGACTCCCTCGAGTGTCGCTGAGGGCCTCGAGAGAAGAATGCGGAGGAGGTCCAACAGCGTAAGGCCACAACAAGCCCCAAACCCTTGAAACGCAAAACACCTCAAGCAGGTATGCTTCGAGGTTTTATGGTATATGGTTGGGAGACCCTGAATTTCGTAATTTCGATCATTAGGCCAAGCGGCTTTGGCAGCTGGCCCAGCGATGCGGGCAGTGCCTTCTGTCGCCGGGAAGGTGCCTGAGGTTCGTAAGGATCTTTTCAGCGTGTTTGTATAGAGAACATATATACATGTGTATATATATATATGTATACGTGTACGTGTATATGTATACATATATATATATATATGTATGTACACAATCATACACACACACATGTATGCATGTATGTGTATGTATATATATATATGTATATATGAGAGAGAGGCTCCTTTAGGTTCTATTTGACGCCTAGCTTAGTCCCTCTCAAATACACAAATAAATAAATACATATATATATATATATATCCATATATATATATTTATGTAAGTATTTGAAATATTTGAAACAATTGAAATGCAGGCAAATGTCTCAATTATTTCAAGCATCAGCTGCCCCCGAGATTTGACATACTTGAAATGCTTGAAATCAGCCCGATTTCAAACATGTCCAGGTCCAGCATTTCAAGCGTTTGAAATCTTCTCAATTCTCCTTCCCCGCTATCCGATTATCCTTATCCCACCACAACCCCAAACCCCCTTCGATGAAATCGACCACATTCCAAATATTTCAAAGATTTCAAACATCAAATGCACCCCGAGGTTTGAAATCTTTGGAATAGTTGAATTCAGCCCGATTTCAAACATGTCAAACATTTCAATTAATTGAAATCCCTTCAATTCTCCTTCCCCGTTATCCTTATCCCACCACAACCCCTAACCCCCTTCATTTCAAACATGTGAAGTGATTGAAATGGTTGAAATCTTTCGCATTTCAAACACTTCAATCAGTTCAACTAGTAAATGCACCCAGAGATCTGAAATGCTTGAAATCAGCCCGATTTCAAACGTTTCAAAAATTTTAAATATTTCAATTGTTGGACATCCCCTCAATTCTCCTTCTCCGTTATCCTTATCCCACCACAACCCCAAACCCCCCCTCATATCAAAGGACTGAAATATCTGAAATATGTGGGATCGGCCACATTCCAAATATTTCAAATCTTTCAGTTATCAAATGCGCAATTATTTCAAGTATTTGAAATCCCCTCAAGTCTCATTCCCCGTTATCCTTATCCCACCACAACCCCAAACCCCCCTCACTTCAATAGGTTCAAACAATTGAAATGTTTGAAATCGGCCACATTCCAAATAATTCAAATATCTCAATCATCAAATGCACCCCGAGATTTGAAATGTTTGAAACCAGCCCGTTTTCAATCATTTCAAAAATTTCAACCGTGTGAAAATCTCTCAATTCTCATGTCCCGTTATCCTTGTCCCACCACAAACCCAAAACACCCTCATTTCAATTGATTGAATTAGTTGAAAGGAAAATGTGAAATCGGCCACATTCCAAATAATTCATCAAAAGCACCCCAAGTTTTGAAATATTTGAGATCAGCCCGATTTCATTTTTTTCAAACAAAGGTCGGTGTCTGTCCCTGGGCGCCCATGGCTAGCAAGAAGTAGATGCGATGGCATCCAAAAAACAAGGCAGACGTCCGCTGCAAGTTTGTTGGGCTCTGTGAGCGGACACGTTTCGAACGTGTCAGAAGTTGTGAGCAAGACAGAGAGCGCATGGCGGAATGACTCCAGTGCATTTCTGTGCGGATGTAAGTATGTTTTATGTCTTTGTGTTTCATAATCAAATGATTGATAGCGCAACGGTTACCGGTGTTGCGGTCCAGATACGCTAAAGCTTGTGCAGCCTGACTTAGTTCCATATCATGTATGATGTCTTCATATTGAACATACTTCTCTAGGATTGAAAATCTGCATTGTGTGTACTGTCGGACGTGGCCTTATGTGCTGCCGTATATACTATTCTATATAGGATCACTCGATCGCCACGGCATAAACTTTTCGGCTTAATGCATTATATGTTTGTATGTAATTGTATCGTTTTTTACTAGTGGTTTTATATTGTATAGGTTCCAACCTAGCCAAACAGACGCTAAAGTTATCAGGCTCATATATATATATATAGATATATATGCATGCACATACACACACACACACATTACGTGTATACATCTATGTACATGTCTGTCATTGTAGATTTAAGACCACATACAACATAGAAGAAAGTTGTTGGGCGAGGCCTCACGGCTTTGAAGGTTCAGGGTTCCGGTCGGGTCTCGGGCACCTAGGATTCAAGAGATGCCAAGAGCCGTGCTTGAGTCATTGAGGTGCTGTGGTAGGATTGCAGAACGATCCTGACGGTAACAGTAACCCTAAACCCCTAAACCCAAAGCCCATCATGGCTTCCGGTTGCTGTTCGTTCGCCCTTTAGGCAATTTAGGCGTCCTGCCGGAATCCCACCTCTTGCATCTAAAGCCTCAAACGGTCCCAGCTCTTTTCGGTAAAAGCACTTGGGATTTAGGGTTAATCGAGCCCCAACTGCCGCATGCAAATGCTCGCATTGCCTGCAGGTTTCAGAACAGCTGCAGCGCGAGAACACCTCGAGCCTCTTCGTTGTCCCTTAGCGCTGCAACTGTAGCATCCATCTGACCACGACTTAGATGCTGTCCGTTGAGCAAAAGGAGTTTGACAGTGGTGGCTGGAGTGGTCACACGCATGATGGTGATACTCCTGAGAACTGCCTGTCTGATAGGCATGATCTCCACTCGTATTCCGCCACATCCCGGTGCACCCCATGCTACTCTATACACGCTTGCCGCCCGAAAGCTGTGCGGGCCATCAAGGGTGCAAAAGTTCGGGACGACACTTCGTGCCCTCTTGAGAGTTTCCTCACTTGATTGAACTGTAGCTCAGGTTTTCAGGCACTCTGTGGTGCAACTACTGCTGCAGAGCTCTGCGGCTTGACACGAAAGCCGAGGGCCGCCATGTAAAAGCCCTGGACTCGCCCTGAACGTTCTGAGACGGTCCATGCGGTTCCTGAATGCTGGACGTTGGTTGCATTGAATTCCTTTTGCGACAGACTTTCAGTTTTCCACGCCTAGGATGTCAATAAGCGAGGGTAGGCGTCCGGTGTTTCAGGGATGATATTCATAATACCTAGCAGGGCCCACCATGGTTACGGTCAGACAGCTTGATCTGTGTAAAAACACGACGGAGGCTGAACGGAAAGCATCGATGTGACAAGCTGCATTCTGTGGTGGTAGCATCATCGGCAGCAACAGATCACCCTCGCAGTCACCATCCACACCTTCATCGTGTTGTTCAGCACTTTTGCCGTCACCCAGTGTCACCATCGTCAAAGTCTGGCACGAGGGTCAGCATCAGCGTTTTCGTCTCGATGCGATTAAAAGAGTTAGCAGCCATAAGCAGCGGCTTCAGCCCGCTGCAGGCGTGGAGCTGCAAGCGATTCCACAGATCATAAATCTAATCCCCTGAACCACCACCCGCTCCAGGTGTCCGGAAAGAGCCCTAATCACCCTAATCCTGAACATTCAAACCCTCAAGCACCAAGGCCGAAGACCCCTCATAACATGGACATTAGACCCCCAAGAGCTTTAGCACAGACTCCATGCAAAAACCATGGTAACTGGCCTGAGCATCAGAACTTCCTCAGAGTCAGGTGCTTTGGTGGCGTCTTCTTTCGGGACTGCAGAAAGCCTTGGAGGATGAAAGTGATATTTGTCCGGTCAAGTCTAGTATAAGTATCCCCGTGAGTGGTATCAAAGTCGTCCAAGCCCTCCCACATCCTAAACCTATAGAATCTGCATACGACCCTGGTAGAACCTTTATGTGAAACCCTTCCAACTCTTGCTTTAGCTCTGGCAGAGGAGGGTCTTCTGGCCAACATCGTACTGAATTCCGCTGCAGCTCGGGTGCTCCTCTCCGAGTCCCCGGCCTCTGGCGGCGTCGTTTTTGGGGATCGTGTGTGTCAGGAGCTCG